ATCCACGAAGAATAAGACTGAGCTTCAGAAGCAGTCTTGCCGCGATCGGGTATGTTGGTCGTAGAAGACCATATTGGATCAGATACACGAGTCGCCCACAGAGACAAGGTCCAAGTTACGCATCAGCTCGCATCCCACTTGGTAGAGGTGAGGGTATTACAAGATTCAAATATGTTTGCTTGTTATTGTTTCAAGTGGCTACTATTTCGGTCAAAGATATGATACATTTGGCTTTCCATTAACATCAGTTCGTTGTTTACGACGTTCGAACTAGAAGAGAGCGTATTTGCTGTAAACTGTGAGCTAGCGTCTCTAATTAAGAAAACTGAGAAATTGAGGTATAGACCAAAAAACCTTTGCTTGCCAAGGTGACGGTGGACTGGTAGACCGCGCCACATGCAGAGGTGTTGGATAAAACCCAATCAAAATTGGTTTTGTCAGTCATGGTTATTCTAAACCAGCACTGGGACAGTAGTGGGAGCAAGTGATTTTCAATTCATGGGGAAAGACTGTGATGAAAGAGGGAGGTAGGAATTGAGGGAGGTAGGGAGGTGAAATTTGAATCATTTCTTGCTTTCTAATTGAGTGTTATTTGTTTTTATTTTAGCTGGACGGCGAGGGCGATGGCGTCGTCGTCCGCGAAGTATGTTCAGCGTTTTTTGTTATCCTTAGGTAGAAGTCATTATCTTAAGCATGACCTGTAATGCAGGCGTTTTTTTTAGCTGGGCAAGCGCTGCATATGTTTTGCCGTGGAAGTCATGATGGAGACGAACAAGGACGGTTTTTGACGCTCTCAATGACCTTTGTTGGCGCCCGCCCGATCAAAATGCACTCGCTGGTTATGAATACGCCTGCATTCCATGTTATTTCTTGCTTTATGAGAATTCAGTCTACACCACTCGTAGATCATACATACGTTCTGCGAGTAGAGAAGAATTGCGAGACCTTAATGCAGTACTTGTGAGGAAATTAAAGGAAATTGAGATATTGGAGTTGTCAATTTTTAACTAAAAACATACGAGCTCTCACGTTTCTTACAGACTCTTACATATGTAGGGGTCTTTTTCAGAACGTGCGTGCTCTTAGGTTGATCGTTATAATTTTAAGGCTTGAATTTGTTTGATAAGTGAATGGAGCAAACCAGATATTTGTCTATGCTGGAAATGAAAAGGTTATTTCGTTGGAGGTGGATGGAATTTCTAATAGGAAAAATCTCTGCAGGAGTGTCAAGAAGACGAAGGAGAACGCGACGCAGAAGGAGAAGAAGGAGGAGAAGGCGCAGAAGAAGGCGACGAAAACTGAGACGAAGAAAGAGGCGTAGAAGGAGAAGAAGACGACGACAAAGAAAACGACGTAAGTATTTGGAAGCCCGAACGAAGACAACACTGCGCGTCTTCTTTTGTATTTTGTAGAGTAATGAGAAATGAGCTACGCCATACAAGAATGAGGTTATCGCAGCAACAACAAACTTACAACCCGTTATAGACCCATTTCATAAATGGCTGCCAATTTAAGTTCTTTTGTTTACATTTAAATTAGCCTCACTAAACTCGCTTGGGAGTAAAAATTCTTTTGAATTATCAACTCAAAATCGAGGTTAGTCAGGCTAATTTTAATACTTACAAAAGACTTTATAATTGGCAGCCGTTTATGAAAAGAGTCTATTAAACTGACTCAATGTTTGACTCTGCGGGATGAAATTTAATACACGGAACGCGAGAAGAGTCGGGTTAATTTTCTTGAAAGGAATATATTTATATGTTCTCTTCCACTGATGTTACAGTTTTAAATTGTATTATGTATATCCATGGAATTTCAGTATTGTGAAAGCGAATCAGTGTTTGAAAAAGGCTATTGTTAAGCGACACGCTTTTCGAGTTGAGAGTGCGTAGTTAAAATACAATTACTCCGTAGGTGATTCTTTGTCAGTAATATTCTTTCTCTTAGGGTCTGGATGAGCGTGCTAGAATCTTACTTATCAATGAATTTCTGTTGATTTCTCAGCCATCAGTTAACATTTCAGCCATTTCTCAGGAATCATTAAATTTTCTAGATCTCAACTATCAGTTAAAGAGTGTGTCATTATTACTCGGTCCTTACTCAGCTTGCACTAAAACTTCACTTAAACCCCATCTGGACCCTCTCCTGCGGATGGATATTTTGAAGAGAAATAACACAAGCTCCACTTCCAAGGTTTCTGCTTAAATGGCTGGGTATCCTGCATGATATTTTAATGATTTTAAAACGTGCCTTTCTTCATCAGGCATAATGGTTGTCCGTTTCCGTGGAAAGCGATGTCGCGTAAGTAAAAGGCGAAAGTACACTATTAGAGTAAAGGGTGTAAGAACACGAATTGCTCGGTTCAGGACGCGGCTAAGAATGCGCATTGGAAGAAGATGGTGTAGAATAAAGCGAAAAGCTCGCAGATGGAGAGTACGCATACGGCGACGATGGTGCGGCCTAAAGAAACGGGGTCGTCGCTGGTTTTACAAACGACGCCGCAGATGGAAGCGTCTAAGACGTGTCAGAGTCACGATTCGCATCAAGCGCAGACGATGCCGCGTAAGACGTCGGCGGGGGCGATGGTTGCTTAAATACAAGAAGAAATGGCGAAAAATTAAACGAAGGACTTTGGGCTTTTTCCGGTTTAAAGGACAGAAGAAGTTCGTGAGGTTGATTGGACGAAGAAGGATCGTATACAAACGAAGAAGATACCGGATCAGGACTAAAATTATCAGGCGAAGACGACGTGAGTACACTAAATTCCAGGCTGTTGTAAATAATTTGTTAACTGCTTGGAAGGACTTCAATAGCATTCCGAATAGCATACCATCCAACAGATAAGCGTTTCTCGCTTTATGATGTGGATTCTAGTGATATCTCCAGCTTAGTGAGCATCTTGTCCAGAACTGAGTCAGACGTAAACCTTCGCCTGAAAAATGACAGTGGCTTCTGGCTGGATCAACCCATTGTTCATTTTTTTGCTGTAATCTAATAGTCCAGTTTTGAGTTAAACAAGACCACTGAAGTTAGAACCCGTGACATAAAATATTCACAAAAAGCTAGGAGGAAAGTGGTGGGGAGTAAGATGAAGCAATACACCGACTTGTCAA